TCAGTGATACAAATTTAGTTTATTTACATATTAAGAACACGATTGATTCCTGCGATTACTCCGTCTGCATAAGTATTGGCAAACACTTCTCCAAATTTATCATTAATTCTGTTCATACCCGCAATGATAATCCTCTTTTTGGTATTAAATATGTCACTTCGATTTCGAGGGATAACTGCTGACGTACCTTGAGATGCGAACAAGTTGCGTGACCACGTCCATTGTTTACAATTATGCATCACATGGTTAACTACAAAAGGTGGAACAAAAAACGTTAAGATAACTATGAACTGATTATTACATTACATTATACATTAAAAACGGGGTCATAAAAACGCAAATATACCTGTGAAATCTGGCTCTCTGAAATGGACCAAAAGCAAGTGTCTGCAGGGGTACCGACAGGTCTGAAATGTAACGCACGTGCAGGTGCAAGCACTCAGATCAACCTCCACTCGATTCCCGTTGTCTTGGAAGAATACATAATCGAAGGATTCAACCTCAACAACAGCCCATCGTCGCCTTTCGTATTCACGGATAACCTTCCTCGCAGCGTATGGCGTCAGCAATCGTATAATTGCGAGTAGACGTGGTGAACAGGGATAGGTGAAGCATCGCGACTGAGCAATAGTCGCCTCCTGCTGTATCCTTGCAAAACTTTGTTGATACCATTTAAACACCTTCAGCATACTTTTATGCAAACTATCTGATCTTTGTAAGTAACGTTTCATTTGCTTGTGGGAACTCTCGACGCGATTATCTGTATCGTTCCCAAAAGTCAGCACGTTGTCTCTGAAACATGCTGCCCACAACTCTCGTCGATGCATCCAACGACGTTGTAGATATTGACTGACAGTAACATCCAATCTCCTAATAACTCTGAAGTAGAAATTAAATCTGGAAAATGAGAACATTAGAGGCATTACTCTGATCTCCTTTTACACTGCACTAGACGGCATAAATAGTTCTTCACAATGGGATTTCTTGTCTACGAATAAAATGTAAAGTATGCTTTGAAAAACTTACTTTCCGACAGAATGCTCGGCAAACATGGAAAGAACACAAAACAATGTGCGCTTGTCTGTGAGTTAACTTGACGGCTGCTATTTCAGCTTGCGCACAATCCATAATGAAAGATTCTGTTTTGGAGGTGTCTTCCATTATTTGACGAAAACAATCTAATATCCAAACTACATCTCGTTTGAATTCTTTTCTAGTTCACGCAAATAAAACTGGTCGTCCTCGACCAAAATTATCCGTAACCGGAACGAAGAATACCTGCACGTTGACTAATGAATTGGTAAACTTACTTCCCCTTATTCGTATTATACGTCGAGTCGATACCAACAACTTCAGGGTGTGGTGAGAGCAGGCTGCTAGCCGATTTGTTGACACTACGCTACGTTAATATGGGCCGTGAGAAAATATGAACAAGGCTGAGTCAACAACCAATCACAGCAAAGTTAACGTGGCAAAATATGATTCGCAGATAGAGAACTCTATTTGTCAAGGAATCCCGAAACAACCAATCAGAAGCCTGCGTTTGTCTGCCTAACTTCTGATAAACAACCAATCAGATGACTGCGCTTGTCTATAATAATGCATGTGAAATATGTATAAATACGTGTTGATTTTCATAATAAAACGATCTGTTGCTTGGCCCTTGTCTTCTGTTGTTACAAGGGAACTGTTTATACAATTCCATTTGCTCATAAGTTGCAAAACAAATTCTTGTTAGTGAATTTCTGGTCGGTTCATCGGAATAATACTCCATTAACTTCCCACGGGATTTTAGGAATTCAAAAATGTCACGACGACTCGAAATACCTTAAGTATATAACAAGTACGTCAACGTTACCTTGATTCACTGCGGCTTTCATATTTTTAACGTCAATGCGAGTTATATCCTTGTGGTACTTCTCCTTAACATGCATTATTATTTCATCGGATGAGTGGGATTGCTGAAGAAGTGGTTCCACATTTTCTTTCTCTTCAACTGTTAGTCGTCTATACCATGGGTCATTCTGCATGTACACCCTGCTGCATGGATGGTTATGCACCATATTGTGGGAAGCAATTATGTATTCACTATAACGCAAAACCACGCGAAATGCAGACGAGCAACTGCAACATTTAGACCTGAAATATTCATGAAATCATACTACACTTCTTCTTACGACTTGTTCTTCAATTTCAAACCAGGTCTAGTACGATTCACTTTAAAAGTGCATTTAAAACCAACATAAGCGTACTTAAGCCTGTCATCCGGTATCGTTTTGCTGCAATTATGAACATAGTGAGTGCAGGATAACTACACTGTTAGCATTAAATGACTTCCTAACTTTTTCAAATTCTGCTAATGACTTCTCAAATTCATTACAGCTGAAGGAACGCCTTCCAAGTATGTATTCAGCAAAAATTCCACTTAAATCTGTGCTCCTGTCACTCGAATTGACTACCTGCAACGGACTAAAATAAAATTATCAATTAGGATCCATCTATGTCACAACTATTCCAAGATAAATCGTAAAAAAACAACATTGAAATACAGGGATGATCGATAACCGTCAAGAAAATACCGCACGTATAACCTAAATTACAGAAAAACACAAGAACCCACCGGTTCGTTGACATCGCAAGCAACCAATAGACCAAACAACGAATTGTACGACAAATAAAGCCTAGTACATGCAAAAACAAAGCGTTACAATAGTCTAGTACACGTTTATAGTAATCACATATGCTGGCAAACGACGCAAACACAACCACGCAAAGACAGCACCCGACAGCACGCACCCAAGGACAATTCAAACTCCAATTGACCGCCACCATTCTAGCCAATGAAAGACGAAAAAAACTGAGTCGCGGAAAATATAACACGAACCCACGTATATCCTCACCCGTTTTGTGAAAGTCTGTATCCGTTAAATTCATTACAGGCTGCTATGGCTTACAGTCGACATTTGTATTCACATAGTAACAAATTCCATTCAGCTGAAAGATAAAGTGTGTGTAGTATTTCAAAGGTCACCTGAGTACCGCTGCTTGCGTATTAGCCGCAATTTTATGTTTACGAAAATCTACCAATCATAATGCGCATTAGTGACCTACAGGTGCTCAGCCTTCCCAAAAATAGCTTTGTGTGCAGCCAGCACGTTGGTTTTGTGGCTTAGTGTTTGTCATGGTTCAGTTTTGTGTTTTTTGATTTCCCTACTCGGAATTGATGTCGCCATCAGTAGACACTCATATCTCCTGTTCTGAAAAGAAACGTCTTTGAAATGTTGAAGGATGGTAGGATTCACTGTACACAGTGTTATAATTCTGAATTAAATCTCAGTAATTCTGAAATAATTGTAGCATCCTATAGTCAGTAAATTCTGAATTTGTTCTGAAATCGTTTGTTTAATGGCACAGACTAGAACTCAGTGCTAGTTTTCAGCATAACTAGCGCTAATTCAGAACCGTGTTCATCTTTTAAGCATTGTTAGGAGTAGATCAAAACCTACCGGGTTTGCTTATCAGCTTTATTTCAGCACTGACTAGCACTAATTCAGAACGAAAAGACTAAATTCAGCACATAGTGGCAACTTTTTCAGCCTACTTCAAGCCTTCGCAGATCATTTTCAGCACTGACTAGCACTAATTCAGAACGAAAAGACCTACTTATTATCATCACCTGTGTCCTACGCCGGCAAAATTCATTTAGTTTGCAGAAGAAATCAGTTTTTATAATTGAGACTTTTGTATTTATAAACTGTAGTACAACGTCACTGCAATCCCGTCAAGTGCGATCCACTGGCAGCATCCTGCAAATAAGCAGAATAAAATATTAGTGGGTGAAAAATTGTGCTCAGCACATTCTGAGCATTTACATTTATAGAAGTTTACTTACATAAGTGCCACTGTTATATCCCCCGGTATCCTTTTCATTTGCCTAAAAAAGAAAACAATATTGTGATTACTACATGTTGAACAAACGTTCACTTATAGAAGTAAGCAGGCGTTTCGCAATATTACCTGAATTCCTTGCTTCCGCTTCCGCCTCTGGACACGATCTTTCAAATTATGAAAGTACAATTTCGTGGCCCTATCCATCATTTCACCAATCTCTCTTGTCGTCATTAGTTGGCCGGAGAAGTGCGACATAATTAAAGCTAGAGAACTAATTACTTAATTAATGAAACTTACTTTTCACTATTTTATAAAAGGCATAAGGCACAATGCTTGACTTTGTCAAAGTCCCCTGGAATGTAAACTTCAAACCCACTTCAGGTTTTATAACATGGTGCATCATGACCTTAAGTGACAACTTTGGATCACTCTGAAGGCAGCTAGCCTATAGTGTTAATCCCTCGATTTGCACTGCAGACCTTTTTTTAAATGAATAAAGAAAGTATGTTGAAAAGACTTGCTAAAATAAGGAGTTACACTGCTTTCAAAATCCAATGCGAGGAATGTACTGCATAGTTCGATTTGATCAGGACGAACTCGGGTTCAGTTTAAATAATCGAAGTAACTGTATTTTTGTTCGCATCGTTGTTTTTATTTGGAATAAACCGGCCCACAATTTATTGAGATCCTTGTAACGCTGTTGCGTTACTTCGGTTTGTGCCCGAATGATATCTAGTTATTGTGACAACGAAGAGTACTCCCATGTGTGACAACTCAGCGTTCCAGTGTTTAAACAGGCACATAACGCACTGATGAAATGAAAGGAAGAGTACAAGTAAAGGTCACCACACTGTTATATACAGAAAGGTATGGGCAGACTGTGATTCCATGAACTAGTACCGAGTTAAGGTATAGTTACTCTTCCTTGTGATTCAAGATATTATTATTTTCGTGTAGGCCTGCATATCAGTATAGACGAATAGCAAGCGTTCATGGCACAATTCAAGTATTTTATGTTTCTAATGTAGATCCACTTACATCAGACTAATTTAGTTTGCCTGTTCCTGTATTTCAGATAGAATTGTTGAGAGAATTGTGATTAACCAACAATGCATTCAGTAAATAGTAATAAAGTAATTCGTGTTAGGTGTTTAAATTAGTTATGTAGTCTGTTACTTGTAAAGCTGCTGTTGCTTGGAGGCCGTGTGAACCTTTGGTGATAGAAGAGGTTGAAGTTTCACCCCCAATGTACGGTGAAGTTCGGATTAAGGTATATTCCTCTGGAGTTTGCCACACAGATGCATACTGTTTGAGTGGTCATGATCCAGAAGGTGTTTTTCCTACCATACTTGGCCACGAAGGTGCGGGTGTTGTAGAAAGTGTTGGTGATGGTGTAACATCACTTTCTCCTGGTGATCATGTTATTCCTTTGTACATTCCACAGTGTAATGAGTGCAAATTTTGTTTTTCAAAAAAAACAAATTTATGCTCAAAAATAAGGTAAGACATTTCAATGAACTTCATGCTTTTAGAGAGACACAGGGGGCTGGCCTCATGCCAGACGGCTCAGTTCGTTTTAAATGTGGGGGTCAACAAATACATCACTTTATGGGTTGTAGTACTTTTAGTGAGTACACAGTACTGCCTGAAATAAGTGTAGCGAAGATTGAGAAGAATGCACCGTTGGATAAAGTCGGTCTTCTGGGATGCGGTATAAGCACAGGTTATGGAGCTGTTTTGAATACTGCCAGTAATGCCTTTCGTAATCTTCTGCTAATGTTTAGATGTTGAAAAAGGAAGTGTGTGCGCTGTTTGGGGACTTGGAACAGTTGGGTTAGCGACTGTAATGGGATGCAAGAAAGCTGGCGCCAGGCGAATAATTGGGGTAGACGTTAATGAAGACAAGTTCGAATTAGCTCTTTCATTTGGAGCTACAGAATGTATTAATCCTGCAAAGCAGTTGAAGCCAATACAGAATGTGAGTAGTAGGAAGTTTCATTTGAATTATTTAGTTATAAACTATCTCACTGCATGTTCATTGTTTCATTTTCCCTTTCAAGTGAATTTTCCCCATGAGTATTTCATAATTTCAACCAATGCTAAAGTTCAGTGTTATGTGGAACTGATATTCAGAGGCTGAATTGTATAACATGTTCTTAACATTCCACTAGTGCCGACTGAAGTTATGTTTGCAAATGATTAAGTTAACCAACTCAGAGATTATAATCAAATCAAAAGCAGACTTAGTGGCTAGGATGTTTTGCGAAGTCTTGACTGATTTCCCAATGTTGACCCAAACTTGTTTGGAACATTTTATGGGCATCGTTAGGTTTTATCAGTATTACGCAAGACATGAGACTTACATTACTTCCAGCAGTTAATGAATTTAAGTCCACTTGGTATCCTAGTAGATTTATCACCTTTCAGGCTTTGTCACCCCCCCCCTTTAATACTTTCTATATTAGTTTACACGGTATTTGCAGTTTCTGTGACTTATGTTCGAATGACTACTTGTAGTTATTCGTCTGAACCTTCTCGTGTGCAGTGTCATTTGAATTGTATACAAATAACAATCAGTGCGGCATAGTAACAGTGTCATGATCGAGAATTCAAACCTGTGATTATGATCTCCCTAAGTAGGACCCAAAAAATTATTTATATACAATATAGTTTGGGGGAAATTATTACCATGTAAACTAAGGTTGTAAAACTCGTAGTGTTTGAACCGTCTCTGAGAATTATACGCATAATTGAATTTAAAACCTACATGTTAGTAAGCAAATCTAAGAAATACTGCCAGCTTATCTGGTATGTCTGCCATTCCAAGCAAAGTCACTGCCTTTTTGTTTCCCCTTAAGGTAAAGTGCCAGTAAGCATAAGGTGTGTGTGAAGGGTTACTTGACGAGTGCCTCCAATCACCCAACATAAATCAACAGTTCACCACTATGATAAGCCCCCTTGCTTTACTGATACAAATTAGTTAGCACCGAGAACTTTTCAGTGGCCAACTAACACTGGTTGGTCTTTTCACTCTTTATATACTTATGAGTGAAATTTCATTGCATTCTGAATTTCTTAAAATTTAGACTTTTTTTTGTCCCTATACCTGTCCGTTTAAAGCGTTATCTGTATATTTCCTAGAGCTTCAGTATGCTATCTTTCGGAAATTCTTTTTGGACTGGTTAGTGTTATGAAGAAAAAATCAATAATTTTAACTTTTACTAGAAGGCTAAGATTATATTGTTTGAAATTTCAAATGTGAGCAGGTGTAAGCTGCATAGTTACAGTTCATATAATTGTAAGGATCAGTCGTTGAAAACTAGTGATATGGTTGAAAGTTCTTCACAATGAGGCTGATGTATTTATCCCTGGTCCTCAAAACTAGCAATTACCGATGGTCATTGAATTATTCACTCTTCAATACTTATTTGTTCACCAAAGTACCCTCTCTGCGTTTTCTTGTGTATTTTTAAATCTGACAACTTGAAAGTACCACATGCTTTCATTAGTTAGTCAGTTCGAGACTTATATTGAGTGAATGTCAAACAATGAACAATAAATGTAACAGTTATAAAAATAGTGAATTCGATCAAATAAGTCAATACTTAGTGAGATTGATGCTTCAGTGCCATTGGTTACAAAATTTCTAAAGATGTCTTTAAATTCACGTTGAGTGTTTCAATGATTGTCACACTATACAGCAAATAAATGTATAACACTAATTCGCGATAACTGAGGGCTGTCAGCAGCCTATAGAAAATTTTCAGTAAATCCAGCCAGGCTGTTTTTATTCATAGAGTTTGTTTGTTTACTTTTTCTTCGGCACCCATTTGTTGTGGGACTATCCAGCCAACTCTTGATCAGAGTTTGTATAAGTTGTACTGGTCGTGTAGAAAAAAACCGTTTTGGTATTTCATTTCTTTGATCTGAGATTATTTGCTTTTTAAAAAAATCGTAACATAATGTTATAAGACTTTAATGTTACCTTTCTTTGCTTTTAAATATTTCACCGTTTATCTTGTAGATTGTAACCGAAATAACTGATGGAGGCTGCGATTATACTTTTGAATGTGTGGGAAATGTGGAAACTATGAGGCAGGCTTTGGAGTCTTGCCATAAAGGCTGGGGTGTCTCAGTTATAATTGGTGTTGCAAAGGCTGGGGCTGAGATTTCGACTCGGCCATTCCAACTTGTAACAGGACGTACATGGAAAGGTTCAGCTTTCGGAGGTTTGTTGTATATCACAACTTTTAGTTTGTGTGACGTTATTTAAAATGGTTAATTTGTAAAGCTAATCCTTTTGATTTGAAACAGACTTTCAAAAGTCAGTCCAGGAAGAACAAATACTGTGATTAGCCTGTGCACTGTCTTGATTATCTCTCCTTTCATTTAACGAACACCGTTTGCAAAGTCAATTCTGTCTGTTTGTCTGGATTCAACATAGAACTTGGCACTGAAGTGCACTAGTTCGAGTCGCCACGTTCCAAATAGCACACAAAGGTAGACATGAAGATGGGTGAAGAGAATCAATAGAGTTTGACAGGTATAAGAGCGAAACAGAATGGGTAATGGTAGAAAGAAATATGAAAGATTACAGAGACTGAATACATCTGCACCATTGACAACGATTTGAGCCATGTGACCTGTTGTCTCCAGCCATTGATTCCTAGAGTCCCGAGGACCCCAACCCGGGAGTCTGCATCTCCCTACCTGACTCAGTTTAACTGTCAAGGATTTCATGGATTGATGCCATGTTTTTGTTTGGCCACCACTGGCTCTTTTCCAACCTGAACCTATATCAGCTAGTAATGCCCGTCGGGGGAGGCGGTGGTTAGGCATGCGCAGCACGTGACCTAGCCATCTCAATCTATGTAACTCTATAGCCCCGTCGATTGATTTTCCCTCTTTGCCCAACACTCTACGCCTATGCTCAAGATGTTCAGAAGACTCTGCATTTTGTCAGCATCCTTTCCTAACAGGACTATGTCATCTGCATATTCTTAGTCCATAAGACTATTCCCTGATAACAAGTCGATTTCTAAGTCGTTACGTTCAGTTTAGGATACTTCCATTAGCATATCTATGATGAAGTTAAACAGGAATGGAGAAAGTGGACATCCCTGTCGGACACCACTGGTTGTTATCAATTCAGATGACAATTCCCCATAAGCCCTTACACGACTACGTGAGTTTGAATAGAGTGCATTGATTAGTGTAATGTACTTTCTTGGCACTCTCTTCACAGTCAGACATTGTAAAGTAAATTACTTCTGGATTTCATCATGAGCTGACATTAGTTAGAGAACCATTGGAAAACCTGGGAGTACTGGACAACTGTTTCGTCCTAGTTTGGGAGTCTTCAACAGTACACACCCACCGGGATTCGAACCCAGGACCTTCCGGTTACAAGGCGAGCTCGTATACCATTAAACCATTAATGGTTCTTTAACTAATGTCAGCTCATGATGAAATCCTGAAACCAATCAAATCCCTACAAACCACTACTTAAATTACTTCTGTTTCACACCAGTACATTGAACAGGTTAAGCCAGTTGATTTGACTTACCTACTGACTGACGGTTTCAACGTAGAACTTTGCATAGATGTGTAGCAGTTCGAGATGCCACATCACAGAGTGAATGCATCTAAAACATCATTGACAACGACGATTTTGAACCATATCACCGATTGTCTCCAGCCACTGGTTTTTAACACCCGAGGAACCCAACCAGGAAGTGTACACATCTCTACCTGGCTGGCTGGCTTAAACTAATTGCTATGGATTTCGTTGATTGATGAGGTCATGTTTTGGTTTGATCACGACTAGCTGTTTTTTAGCCTGATCCTATGCCAGCTAACATTGCCCGTCGAGGAAGACGATGGCTGGGCTTGCATAACATGTCTCCTAACCACCTCAATCGGTGTAACTTCACAACCTCGTCGACTGATTTCGTTTCGTTACCTAGTACTCGACGCCTAACGCCAATATTCCTTACCCTATTATGCTACCTAACACGTTTATTCTTGGGTTGCTAGTCTTCGCTTCTAAGATCAGCAGCCTTAGCCTGCTTCAGGGTGTTACTGTCTTATAGCACATTGCAAAGATCATATTTACTAGTGGATGCAAGCATCCTTTTTTCAGTATTAGAATTACTTGCTACTCGCAACACAGAGCTCGTAGTTCTTATAGGAGTTGAACGTTAATTGCGTGTAAGTTAGGGTGTCCTTGGTTTTATTTATATTACTAACTGTATGGGTTGGAGTATCTTGTTTGCAGTTTACAGCTGCCTTTGGGAGTACGCTTCTTGTGTTCCCAACAGGACAGTGTGTAGGATTGGGTCAGGACAACGGTGCATATGGTAAGCAACAATCATTATCAACGGGAGAAATTCAGAAGTCATTTCTTGCACTTATCGAAGCAGCTACAGACGGCATAGCCCGGATTGGAAAGGCAAAACAATCAGTGTGGAAACCTGCTGCTCTCAGAGTAAAGAACAAGATCTGAGGATGAAATGGCACTTTATTGAGTCTGGAAGTTTAGTGAGTGGTGGGTTGGTTGCTCATACGCATCTCCCAAACCTAAAAAAGTCCCATTTCATCCTCAGATCTTGTTCTTTACTCTGAGAGCAGCAGGTTTCCACACTGATTGTTTTGCCTTTCCAATCCGGGCTATGCCGTCTTCATCCTTGCCGTCTGTAGCTGCTTCGATAAGTGCAAGAAATGACTTCTGAATTTCTCCCGTTGATAATGATTGATGCTTATTATTGACGGTTAGGTATCATCCTCCCTGTCTACCCTGTCTTCACTTGAAGTCCTGTCTTCGCTGCCATTTTTACCAACATGTTAGTCTTTGCCTATAGATCTTCCAGTTTGTGTAAATTCAAACAAAAGGAAGAGATGTGGTGGTCTATATTTAGTCCGTTAATTGATTATACCTTTTTTTAAGCCATATCAATTATTATTATTATGTACTAGCTGATGAATTCGTGATTGTCTGTTGTTTGTCTCTCGTTGTGTGTTCTCTCTCTGCGATCGCTATAGCCTTGCAAGTCGTGCGACTTATTACCTATCATAAAATCAACCAACAAGTATGATTGTGCCGTCTATCAGTCATAGGTAGCCATCGATGGCTAATATTTAGTGGATTTAATTTTTTAGCTTTGTAAGTTATAAATAATCTGTGGATCCGTGGACGACTAAAAAGTGAATACATTACTATATTCTGCGCTCATAACTCTTTTACCTGTAACTGGTTTGCTTCATACTATTGTGTGATTGCTCACTTGACAATATCTTCCGAATGTCTACTTTCCCTTTGAATAACTTAACAAGATTTTCACAATGAGACTGGTAGATGAAAGTATCATTGGTAAACTCCAAGTAGTTTGACGGTGGGAATAACAAATTACGGAGCCTTGTCATCTTTTATCAGCACACCCACCTGGAGGATAAATGAGGTCACAGGATTTTAGTCACTTTAAAAAGAAACGTCGTGGTGTCTAATTCGTAGATCCTGGGGTTGGTTATCTGGGAAATGTTTACTGAAGACATAAGGAATGAATATCAATAAAAGTCCCATAGTCAGAGGCACGTTCTCTTGAAATGAATTTCGATAACTGTAATATCTCTCAGTCACCACCCATTTTCCTTTTGTCTTATCTTACGTGTATTCAATTTTTCCCTTACTGAGTTCATTCCTCAATGTGTTTACATCAAATTCAGTTATTTTATTTTGTACACACCTTTGATTATTTCTTTCTATAGGTTGGAAATCTCGTGAGTCGGTGCCTAAACTTGTCAAAGAATATATGTCAGGAGAGATCAAAGTTGATCAATTTATCACTGATCATTTTGATTTAAAAGATATTAATAAGGCTTTTGATTTGATGAAAATGGGCAGGTGGTAAGTAATGCTTCTTTCTTATCGCATTTTTGATACGATGAAGTAAGTACGCATGTGTAGTATCACTTGTTTGTTAATATTTGATTAAACTGTCAATGTACATTGTCTACTTACTTACAATGTGGATTTAGTTCACAGCGTCGGTGGCAGAGCGGTTAGGACACTTGCCGACCATGCACATTGTTCGGGTTTCGATCCCCGGCTGACGCACACCTGATATCAATAGTCAGCCTACTAAATTTGGGCTACCGATATCACATGCTGGAAATTCCATACCTATGCCGAAATACTGTGTGGAGCCAAGTTATAATAAAATAAATAAATAAAATACGTTTCTGGAATATTTTAAACCCTATCTTATGGTGAGGTAAATACACTCTGCCCTACAGATTTCGTTTAGTTTCATGATTAAGTTGCTGATGAAGTTATTACCAGCATAAATTATTTGTTAGATTTTGTTCAATATGTGTACATTTAACGTTGATCGATAGTCAAAATATCTGCTTGGTATATATTATAACAATCCAGTACAATAACCAGAATGAAGTACAGAGAAAACAGCATTTCTTGTAAAAAAAAACACATTAACAGTACGACTACTTTCAATTTTCACTTTATTCTTTTTATAAAATCGTATGTTTATGACATTGAAGCAGTTAATTCCTAGTTACAGTGTATTTAGCCATGATTTCATTATTAGTTTCAAGTTTAGTCACGGATTGACGTCAGCTAGTGAGCCATTGGAAACCAAGGGGTACTGAGCGACTACCTCAGCCTACTCCATCACTCCTTGGCAGTACTCATTCACAACCTTACCCCGAAGATCGAGCCCAAAACCCTTCGGTTTCGAGGCCAAGTGTAGTTGATCATTCAACCGATTTTGTTCTAGTCCAATGGCCCATGAATTCTAGCCCCTGTTAGTTTGCGATTTTAGTGCGAGTATTCGTCTTCACATTCAACCTGGTGAAACCCACTGATCACAACTCATTAGAACTCCAAAAAACAACTTCATCCTGTAACAAGTCACAAGTGAGCATCAGTGATGAAAGTCAGGTTTTTCACTATTTAGAAAACATCAGATTTATTCATTTAGAAGACACAACAAATTAATCCAAGAGATATATTCTTTTTCAATAAGTTCTTTATCAATGGCTCTGAACTAATATATAGTTTTAGTGTAAAACTATTGTGATGTTAATCAATAAGAATTATGAGTTTTAACATATAGAAGGAGTGGAAATCGCTTATCAAAGTCATCATAGTTAATTTGTAGCAACAGATTGTCAGTAAACAAGAATGGTAATTTTCGAGGAGTAATAGGAGTATTCAGGATCAGTTTCTTTCTGGAGGTTAGCAATGGACTACCACACAAATCAATAATTTTCCAGAACACTACGACTTAGGACAGAATAATGAGTAATCGAGCTACTAACAAGTTCTGAAGAAAATAAAAGACAAATTCAGCGAAGAAAATTTTCTTTATCGACGAAATCATCTTCAGAGGCTGTACAGTCGTATTTATATTTACCAAAAATGCATAATAGTCTATTATTGAGCAATAGGGGGTGACATAATTGATACAATCACTCAAAAGTGGCTTTAGAAGTAAAAATAAAAGTTGTAAATTACGTGGTACTCAATGGCACAAAGTTAGGAACTTGATAAGATTTAAATCGTTATTGAGTGAGAATAGAGGTAGTTGTGTCGATTTAACAAGTGTGAAGAGGGTCTGGAAATGTATAAAGAGAAAACATGAGAGTGATAATAGTGAATTAATTATTAAAGTAAAACTGAAAATTGAATAAAAAGAAAAATTAAAATTTTTCGCAGAGAACGACTAGAGGAAGTTAAGACCGAGGTAGAATAAGAGACTGGACAAACTTCTGTATACAAAGTTTTGGGGGTTATATTGGTGAATCACCAGCGCCTCCGCCATACACAAAAAATGTTTGTACAACCTCTGAAGACGATTTCGTCGATAAAGAAAATTTTCTTCGCTGAATTTGTCTTTTATTTTCTTCATGACCCAATGGGTGTTTTCGGTGATCTGAAGCAGAGCAAGAACCCTGTGACAGTGAAACTAACAAGTTCATAAAATACTCACCATAACTAAGCAAAAATGTGAAACTAAAGATGGATATATAAATATATGAAGCTCAATAGGCAGATAGATGAATGATCTACAGAATCCCCTTTCATTTTAACAATGTAGTGCATTATTTTTACATTACTTTTTAGCATCAAACCAATGATTCATCTCTACAGTTCTCAGCGAAATTTTTCAAATGCTTCTGAAATCATATAGTCAGTTTCCCAACGAATTTAATTCGATTGACTTGCTCACTTCATCCTATTTTACGTGTAAATTAACTAATAATAGTGATGCTTTTTATATAATCCTTGTATATGGATTGACAACTGAGATTATGAGAATATAATTTTGATTATGTTACATATGGTATAATAATTCGTCCATTTTGTTGATGCGATATATAAATGGTCTCATCGATTCTTTTTCTCATCTTACTATTGTTTACAAAAGTGATTCGAAATTATACTCTAATAGCGTGCCCAGTAAAGATGGACATTTTAATTATTGCATGTAGTTTAACTTCTAAGACCTCTGCCTTGTTTTCCTGAGAAATACTAGTAATAATAACAATTAAAAGTAGTTAATTCCATTTGCAAACTCCTAACATGACATTATCCGAAATCTTTTTCGTGCTACACATTTCAAACATCATAACACCAAACGTACATGTCATTTATATATATATATATATATATATATATATATATATATAATGAAAAGTAAACATTGGAATGAATGAAAGTAGAGAGCTGCACATAAGAAGAAACATTAGTTTGTCAATAACTATTTGGTTTTGAGACTGAGTTACCTAAGCAGGTTCGACAAAAATGAAATCATTGGTGGACTTCCAAATAACAACATTCATTCACCCCCATTCCTGTTCCACCGTTGTTATATGCTACTCTCATGGCCGATCCCAGAGATTTTCTCATGTTCTCAAAGTGTTGACTAAGAGAATTATTCTTAGTTAACTGTTCTTTGTTAACTAACAATTATATTAAGAGCCATCACTTTATTCCAGTCGATAGTTTTTATAAAGAGTAGAATTCTCAGCACTGAACATATTGCAACAGTTTATTTCCATTACAAATAAATCAAATATTAACGATAGTAAAACTGCGAAAACTGAAGTTAGTGGAAGGATGATTTATGTAATAATGATAATAACAATACTAGTAATATGTAGCTGCTTATTTACAGATCATAATGTAGATTCATAAGCTGTTTACTGATATTTATCTCTCCAAAACAACACTCGCGCTAAATATATGGTTGACTTTAAACAGCTGGCGAACGTTAATTCTTATGATATTTCTGTTTTGCTCAGAAGAGAAATATGGTGAAAGTTGCGAACAAAGAGGATGTTCAGTATCCGACATGATATATTTAGCCAATTGCTTGCACGAATTAAAATATCTGTCAACAGCAGTGTCAATTACTTGAGTCAAAGGCACACTACTATCCCTCCTTTCACGTTCCATAGTCTTACGTAATATAACATACATTTTTTTTCGAGAAACTCGGGGAAAAATAAGGGGGGACAACAAAGAATAGTGGGTAGAATACATGAATTAACAAATACTGAGAGAACGACTTAATGCAGAAACAACTAGGACAGAAATTGTCAGACTATCACCATATTTCGTGATATTGGCTTTAGAAGAAAGTAGGTACAGCGCCTTCGATGTACACCAGCCTATGTAGGCAAGGAACTGAGGCGCTTTTCGTTGTATCTTGGCCACAGGAATAAAATACAAACACCTTCTGATCCAAGGCTCAGTACGTGCCGAAGTCGACTTGTTTAGAAAAGTGTCCATGGAACAGAACCAAAGGCAGTAGTAGTCTAAGAAGTCATTTAATAAACTTCTCATCTGCATCTACACGAGAAACGGTATATTGACATGGCAGCATTTAAACTACTTCTAATGTGTTTATAAGCGAAGTTTTTGGGGGCACTGGAAAAGTTTACTGAGGTTTCAAGAACTAGCAGGAGAAATTTATTCTGTAGTTTTCAAAACTGGGGAGATTAGCGTGAACCTCAGACTTTGCCCAGAGGATGATGATTCTGGGACACGTACAGTCTTGAATGTAAGTGTAAAACTTCGGCACTGTGGTAGAATGTAATAATATATTAAATGACTTTATTACAAATATCACAGTGACTCACTAATAGTAACTGGATGACTTTTCGAGCATAAATTATTGCTCATAATCATATCAGTTTAGTCACACGGCTTCATAATTTGCCTTATACAATTTCTCCTTCTCTCCCTTTTCTCCTTGTTGCTTTTTGTCACTCTCCATATCTCTGGTATAGGCGTTGCATCATGTCGATTGATGTTGAATCGATAAACAAAACTTCAGTGAATAACCTCTCTCTCCACCTAACTATATTGCGTTTTAATAGTTTCACCCTGTCCCACCGTATTTTTTGTTCACATGTAAGTGAATGCAATGGCTGAGCTTTCTTCTAGGTTATTTAACTTAGCAGGATGAATCATTCTACGTCTAGCTAAATTCTTATATGGGATAAACGTACACTTTTGGAGTGGTTGGATCTGGTTCTGTGAATAACTCTGAAGGACAAATCAAATGGGGCTGAATGACCTGACCCCAGAGGGTGTTCATAAATTGAAGACTTCGTCGTCCTGTGCTCACCTTTCATTAACCGAATCTAGTAGTGTCCTGCTACACGTTTACGGAGAACACGCTTACAACATCCCATGTTGTAATCTGCTCCACACGGGCATGTGAATGAGAATATGCACATAGAGGTGAACATAAGCGGTACTTTACCCTTAAAGCATTGTCGAGCCATATTTTGGCTGGTAAATACTGAATGCATAAGAAGAGCGTTTAATAAATTTATCTAAACAACTTTTAATCACTTCGTCAAAAGTCTCCTTCGAACGCCAAACTCATCAAGTGTGTTCTTTAGCACTGTGATTTGGCTGGGGACGATTTCTTTCTTGATGTTTCTGTCAATAAACCTTCTAAGGTATCTATTATTTAAGAGAGTTGTGCGAAGGTTTTCTAGCTCTATGTCGACCGTATCTATTGAGCGAATTTTCAGAACTCTGGAGCAAACCTGACGTATAAGATTTCTCTTCCTACCTAGAGGTACCCAACTGTTGAAGTTAGTGTATTGCCCTGTAAGTGTTTGCTTTCGATAAATCCACATTTTTAACGTTCCATCCTCTCTTCTATGTAACATCACATCTAAGAAGAAAAATGCAGAGTTCGATTCTTCTTCGGTAGTGAAAAGTATCGATGGGTGAGAACCACTAAATTTTTTAAAAAGCTTGGTGGCTGAACATTTGTCGTTACAGATAATGAAGCTTTGTATTTTTCGCTTATATATGCAAATTCGTGACTGTTTCTTTCAGTGAACCACTCTTCAAGCTCGCCATGAAGACATCCGTTAGGAGAAGTTCTAATGGGATACCCCATTGCGACTACCCCCCTTTGATCATAAATAACAACGTTAAATGTAAACTGCATATTAAGCGTCCATTTCAATAATAGCTGCTTCAGATAGTTAGCTCTCCATTGCTTATGCATTTTAGGTAGATGTAATCACATAGATAACACGAAGTTCCTACTAACGGTACATTTACAAATAAAGAGCAAACATTTAATGAGATCATATGCTTACGGGTCACATCAATTCCATCAATGCAACTGACGAGGTCAAAAGTGTCTGAAAGACTGTGTTTACAGTTTTGATCTCACAGGTTCAAAGTTTACAGCGAGCGATTTGGTTGTAGAATGATAAGCGCAGTTCAGAAAATCCAATATAGGTCACCAGCTTTATGCATCTTGGGAAAACCATACAAACGAGGGGTGGTTGGACCAAACGGCTTGGGATGTTCATACATATACGGAGTAATAATAGATTCGAACTTCACATTCTGCAAAGCTTTTGGCAATTCATTCTCAATACCCTCAGTTGTCTCTCTGATCGGTTGATTTAAAAGATTTTTTCTCGTTGTAAAGAATCGTGCATAATTTTTTAGTATACTCCTAACGCTTTAAAATAACTACACCCTCTCCTTTATCTGGACGAATTAGTATTATATCACTGTTATTCAGCAGTTCATTCAGTTGTAGTAGCAATGCAATATGGCAGACTTAAATTATTCTACGTCTTCACTATACAACGGAAGCAGGTCTTGTGTCTTAGACATTCCAAACTGCACCTTTGCATCTAATTCGTGAACTCTGGATGAAATAGTACTGAACTTAGGACAAAGAGACAGGATTTACATGTGAATGTCAGACAGTCATACTATAACAATCAAAGACATGTTTCTCCGATGAATTTTATATTGTAGGCGTGTTCTCCATAAACGTCTAGCAGGATACTACTGTCTGTCTGTCTGTTTTCGACATAGAACTTTGCACTGATGTGCGGAAGTTCAAGTCGCCACACTCCATGTACCACACAAAGCAAGAGAAGAAAGTACAAGAAATGCAGAGGTGTGAGACAAAGGAAGAGTAATAACGAAGAACAAAACAGTTTCATTGGAAATCATAAGTCACAAGGAGTGGATGCATTTGCGCCACTTAGAACGATTTTGAGCCATGTCACCAATTGTTTACATCCATTGGTTTTTACCGTTCCGAGGACCCCAACCAGGAAGTCTACACCTTCCTACGTGGCTTAGACTAACTGTTGTAGATTTCATTGACTGGTGCCATGTTTTCGTTTGACCTCCGCTAGCTTTTTTCCAGCCTGATCCTATATCCACTAACATTGCTCGTCGAGGAAGGCGATGACTAGGCATACGTAACACATGTCCTAACCATCTCAGTCTTCGTAACTTCACAACTTCGTCGATTGATTTCCCCTGTTTACCTAGCACTCGACACCTAACCTCAATATTGCTCACCTTATTATGTCACTTCACACAGGAGATAGAACGTAGGCACCTATGACCAAAGACAGCTAGCCATGCTTTTCATGTCTTCCACTCTCAGTGGCCAGGTCTCACAGCCAGCCAGCCATAAAGAAGGACGGAGAGGACCCCTCCCCCTTTGGTCGACAGTCGGATATCTCGTATATGCCGGCGTAAACTGGCAAATGCGAAACGAGCGCCCTGTATTCGTGCTGAGATTTCGTCAGAGATCAACCCGTTGTCACTGGCTGATGGTACTTCCCAAATAAGTGAAGCGGTTAATGTGCTCTACCACTTCACTTCCTATTTTTAAAC